ATGAACAACTAGAATGGTTGTTGTGCTAAGCCTCTGAGTTTGGAAGGACTGTGACATACCAAATGATATTTGAAAGACTCAACATCCTGTATCAATCTCAGGAATTGCTCTAATTGGCCCACCTTGGGCCATATGCCCACTTTTTGAATTAACCATTGCTTCCAGGGGGTCAAGATGAGATTGGAGCTGCCACATGCTGGTTAACAGCCTTAGCAGAATCATTTGTAATAGAAGAAATGGAGGGAAAGGATTCTGGGCATATATAGAACAATAACTGTCCATGACAGCAAGCCTTGCCCTGGTGTGTGCAGTGGGATGGGGTTGGCAACTAGAACGAGGCTCGCACTTTCAGAGGAGTACGCAGACAAGGGCAGGAGCTGGAGCTGAGAGGAAGCTGGATAGAACATGATGACTTGCAGCTGCGAGTTTCTCATGGGGGAAGCTCTGGCTCTTCCTCATGATTGAATCCCTACTTCCTGATATATTTTGGTGGGTGGGTGTGTGGGTGGATAGATGGATGGATGCATGCATGGATGGATGGTTGGGTGACTCAGTGAGTGAGTGGCTGGATAGATAAATGAGTAGGCAGGTGGATAGTAACATTCAGGATGGTAGGAAGTTCGACACCAAGTAGGAGGATGCCCCAACTTCCTATCACAAAGAGCACAGCAAGGGAAATCCAGAAGCTGATGAATGAAGCTTTTAGCTGGAAAAGTTGTCATTGTCATCAGAGAAAAGGGCCTCTGCCACTGAGGGGCTGACTGGAAAATTCGGTAGCATAAAGAAAATGTATAGACAAGGTATGGGGGAAGGGATTGGGGCTCAGGACTGGGACTGAACTGACAGAAGCCAAATGCCTAGAGCTACAGGCAGGAACAATTCAGAGTGTAGGGCCAAGGAGGACACAGACAGCCATGTGGTAAGAGGAAGATGTTGGTGCTAGATAAAGTCTCATCATTCTTCAAATAAGCAATACTGGTGAAGTAATTGTTTGAACCTGCTCAGCATCTCTTCCCCTTCCTTTTTTTGGAAGCAACCTCATTTTCCTTGGAGGGGACAGCATATTCCCTCAGTGGAGTGGGATGTGCACTGCTGGCTGGCTCCAGGTGTGGGCATGGACCCTGTGGCAACCAGTCAAACGTCATATCCTGCTGTCTGCAAAGGCTGGCTGAAGGAGGACCCATGAGAGCCCTTTTCAAGATTCTTGCCAGAACTCCAGGGAAAGGGGCACTATCTTCCTGTGGAGAATGGTGACCATGGGGAATTGCAGCCTGGAGCCGTGGAGATTGTTTCCCACTGGGTGAGCGCCAACACAGAGGGAAGCAGAGCCAGAGACAGGAAGAGAAGGATGGTTCCCATTGCCATCTTGTCAGTTACAGGAGCCAGTAAATGCCCCTTTTCACTCTTTGGATTGATTCATTAGAATTTAGTGGGAAATCTTTGCCTGCACCTAGAGGAGAGGCTGTTCTGAGGTGCCATCGTGCTTCAGGTGAGTCGGGTGTCTTCCCACAACCGCTTGCTCCCAAGGGGCCCTCCCAAGCTTCAGAGTTCCCTGGGGTTCTTTCTCTACAACAGCCCCTTCTAGGCAACAGGGACTCGACACTGAGCCTCGCAATTCCCTGGCTTCTGATCATCAGAGAAAGCAGCACAAAAAAGAAGATTGATTGGTCTCTGTCCTTCAGGGTGTCCAGAGGCAGCCTCTCCCAAGACCCCTGTAAGTGAAAGCACTTCCTCAATCCTTAAGCCCCCAGAACATTGACTCAGGCCCTGTTCCCTGCTTCAGCTGACTGGTCCAGGGCTGGCAAGCAGCTGGAGGCGCACACAGGCCATTCCCTCGCAAAGTGCATTTCTGATGGCAGGATCCCAACCCAACACCTCGGTGGAGCCTCGTCGATTCAGCCTCAACTCGATGTTTCCCCAGTCATATCCTGTGTATCAGCCCCTCCTTTTGTGACCACAAGCCTTGGCTCACAAGAATCCCTTTGCCTGGGCAGGCGCAGTGGCTCATGCCTGTAATCTCAGCACTTTGGGAGGCCAAGGCAGGTGGATCATGAGGTCAGGAGTTCAAGACCAGCCTGGCCAACATGGTAAAAACCTGTTTCTACTAAAAATACAAAAATTAGCTGGGTGTGGTGGCGGGCACCTGGAATCTAAGCTACTCGAGGCTGAGGCAGGAGAATCGCTTGATCCAGGAGGTGGAGGTTGCACTGAGCTGGGACCGCGCCATTGCATTCCAGCCTGAGTGACTGAGCCAGACTCCGTTTCAAAAAAAAAAAAAAGAATATCTTTGCCTGAAGGCTCTTCTCCCCTTTCCCCACCTGAGGAACTTGCTCTCAAACAAGGCATTAACATCCCTTCCCTGTGAAGCCTGGCCCACACCTACCAAGCCTGTTCTTTATGTCCATCGCACTCCGTTTAGTGCTCCTTTAAAAAAACACTTGTCACTTTTTTGCCTTGGTTGTTTACATAGATGTTCGCATGATGATAATCCAGGCTCTTCAAGAGCATGATGGGGTCTTATTCATTTTATAATCTATAATGTCCAGTACATAGTTGTTACTTAATATGAGAGAGAGAGAGAGAGAGGGATGGAAAGAGAGGGAGGGAGCGGGGGAGGGTGGTGGGGGGGAGGGAGGGGGAGAGAGAGAGAGAGAGAGAGAGAGAGAGAGAGAGAGAGAGAGAGAGAGAGAGAGAGAGAGAGAGAGAGAACCGTTTCTGACCAGAACACCAGATGGGGCAGACAGCAGCAGGAAACAAAACTTAAATCCTCCCTGGGAAAGTCAGTCTCCGGGATTAGAGACCATGTCTTAGGCAACCTGAACAGTCAGAGATGAATAGCACAGAGACGGTGCTCCATCGAAATTTACTGAAGGAATGAGGGGGCATGAGAACCCCAACTACTGTTATGGAAAGGGGAGAGAGGGGAGTGGGTTTGCAGAAAGGCCAAGCATCCCTTTAGTGACAATCCCAGGAAGGATCTGCTTTCTAAGATGCTAAATTTGGGCCAAGCAAGACCCGCTCCTGCCACTTTTGCACACAGATCCACATCCTATGGCTTGATTGACTCCTTGGGTTCCATGACTCTTTCATGTCTGACCAAAGGTGTAGGAGAGGGCAGAGCCTAAAGGAGTACTCACTGGCTGGGAGTAGAGGCTGAGGAAACTGGAATATCAGTAACTATGGGTCCTTTTTTTTTTTTCTTTTTTGAGACAGGGTCTTACTCTGCCGCCCCAGGCTGGAGTGCAGTGGCATGATCACAGCTCACTGCAGCCTCGATCTCCTGGGCTCAAACAATCCTTCCACCTCAGCCTTCTGAGTATCTAGGACCACAGGTGTGTACCACCACACCTAGCTAACTTTTTTTCTGTATTTTTTGTAAAGACAGGCTTTCACCATGTTGCTCAGGCTGGTCTTGAACTCTTGAGCTCCAGTGATCTGCCTGCCTCAGCCTCCCATAGTGCTGGGATTACAGCCAGGAGCCACCACATCCAGGTGCCAGTCTTTATCTGAGCAGAATTTGGCTGACTTTGAGTGTGGTCCAGGATATGACTGCACATACAATGTAATTTCAGTCAGTTTCTGATCCCTAAAACACACCCTCTCCACTCACCCACTAATATCCACCCAAAAATACATGCTTAGAGAGGGTCACTCTTTTGGCTAAAATTATAACAATAGCATGTGGGAGCTGGCTTATATCAGCAAATGAGAGCCAACTGTTAAATTTTCAGGATTTTTTCCAGTTGGTTGTTAAATAATTGGTAACTTGAAATTGGCTGTGGTGGGGGCAGACATTATACAGAAAAGTTCATTCTGTACGCCCCAGCACACCACTGGCTGAACCCTTTCCTTCCATTCAGAAGCAAATGCCCTTGAGAGATGTATAAAGCATTATCAGTTATTTATACCTTTGTGTTAAATACTGAGTCACAGACCACTGCTCCAGTTAGATGGGAATTGGAAATTATTTAGTCTAACCTTTAGTTAGTAAATGAGAGAATCGAGACCCAGAAAGTTAACACGACTTACTAAAGATACCGAATTAGCTAGTTTCAGGGTCCAGACTGCATCCGAAGTGCTCCGATTCTTAGTAAATGGGATGCCATAATAATTTTATACACATATTTACAGGGAACATCTCTTCCTCCCCGCTCCCCCATATTAATCCTGGCCAGAGCATGAAGTATATGCTAACCCACAGCCTCTCTGCGCTCAGGGATGGTCACATGACTAGACCTGCTCCATTAGAGTATTCCGTCCTCCTGGACATTGTAACTGATTAGGGAAAGTACATATCAATGCAGGGATGTTTTTACAGGTCTGGCATTAAGACCCCGTCTTCTAGCAATAGACTCAATTTTGCTTGGAAGAATCAACTATTCTCCATTGATTATAATCTCTTTTTTTTTTTTGAGATGGAGTTTTGCTTTTGTCACCCAGGCTGGAGTGCAGTGGCATGATCTCGGCTCACTGCAACCTCCACCTCTTGGGTTCAAGCGATTCTCCTGCCTCAGCTTTCCCAGTAGCTAGGATTACAGGCGCCCACCACCAGGCCTAGCTAATGTTTGTATTTTTGGTAGAGAAAGCATTTCATCATGTTGACCAGGCTGTCTCAAACTCCTGACCTCGGGTGATCCACCCACCTCGGCCTCTCAAAGTGCTGGGATTACAGCCATGAGCCAACGTGCCCGGCCAATTATAATCTCTTGATGAGGCTATCAGGTAATGTCAATCAGCTGTTTTCTCCCTGGAATTTAAATCTTAACAGAATGAAACCAGACCTGGACCCATCCCAGGAGCTGCTCATATTCTGTGGCTATACAAACAGTGCTCCAGAAATTTACATTTTGCTTAAGCTATCCAGAGCTGATTTCTGCTGCTTGCAACCAAAGGATCCTAACTTACACTGTAGAATTTTTGGAAGTTGTGTTAGTTTTCTATTGCTGTATAACAAACCATCATAAATTTAGTGGCTTAAAACAACACATTTATGAACTCACAGTAATGTAGGTCAGAAGTCCCGATACGACATGGCTGAGTTCTTTGCTCTGGAACTTACAAGCCTGAAATCGGTGTTGGCTGGGGCAACAGTTCTCATCTGAGGCTCAGGATCTTCTTCCCAGCTCACTGGTTGTTGGCAGGTCTTATTTCCTCACAGTTATAGGAGTGAGTTGCTGTTTTCCTGCTAATGATTGGCCAGGGAATGCTCTCAGGTCCTAGAAAACACCTGCAGCTCCTTGCCAGGGGCCCCCATAGGCAGTTCACAATGTGGATGTTCGCTTGCTTCCGGGCCCACCAGAGAGCATCTCTCTGACTTACTCTTCTGGAACCAGCTGGAGAAAACTCTGCTTTTAGAGGATTTGCCGGTCAGGTCAGGCCCACCAGAACACTCTCCCTTTGCCATATAAAACCACATAAGCTCAGAAATCTTAGCCCATCACATTCACAGGTTCTTCCGATGATCACGGAGATTGTACCAGCTGCGTGTAAATCTTGGAGGCCACCTTAGGATCGCATCTCTCACAGAAATGCTATTGGAAAAGAGCTCCCTCCTTCTTCCTCTGGGGGATAAGGCACGCCTGGTATCCATCTTTTTCACCAGATGGAGGAAGCTTGCCTGGGAATGAAGCCAACACAGAGAAGAGCTGAGCAAGAGACAAAAAGACAGGCAGAGCATTTGCGGCATGGTTGAGAACCTGGCTTGTGCCATGCCTAGGTGCCTGCCCCACAGGCTTTTTCATCTCATGAGCCAATACATTTTTTATTGATTTATTTGACTTTGATTCTGCAACTTGGAATTGAAATGGTCTTGAATATAACAGATGCTGAAATTGCATGGCTGTTGGAGACATGTTTGGAAACTTCACAGCTGACACAAGTCCACTTTGGTGGGAGGTTTACCTAGTGGGCCCTTCCCCTCAAAAGACTAATTTCCCTTTAAAAAAATTAACCACACAATTTTGGGGCTTTTTTTAAGTGAGACATTAAGGAGGAAAAGCACACCTAATGTCCAAACACTCCAGAAAAAAATAAATGAAAGTAAGAGACTGCACAAAGATTTTATATCAAAAGTGACGGTGAAAGATGGCAAAAAAATATGCTGGGACGTGGGTATGATTAGAGATGGATAAGACGAATTGCAGTTGACCCTGGAAAGACCCAGGGGTTAGGGGCACTGAACCCCATGCAGTTAAAAATAATCTGTGTATAACTTTTGATTCTCCAAAAATTTAACCACTAATAGCTTATTGTTGACCATAAGCCTTACCAACAACATAAACAGTCAACTAACACCTGTTTTGTACATTGTATGTATTGTATACTGTGTTCTTATAGGAAAGTAAGCTAGGGCAGAGAGAATATAAAGGATCATTATAAAGGTCTTTTTTTCTTTTTCTTTTCTTATTCTTTTGTTTTTTTTTGAGTCGGAGTCTCACTCTGTTGCCAGGCTCGATTGCAGTGGCGAGATCTTAGCTTACCGCAACCTCCTCCTCCCAGGTTCAAGCAATTCTCCTGCCTCAGCCTCCTGAGTAGCTGGGATGACAGGTGCCTGCCACCATGCCCAGCTGATTTTTTGTATTTTTTAGTAGAGATGGGGTTTTACCATGTTGGCCAGGCTGGTCAACTCCTGACCTCAGGTGATCCATCTGCCTCGGCCTCCCAAAGTGCTGGGATTAGAGGCGTGAGCCACGGTGCTGGGCCGTCACAAAGGTCTTCATCCTCACTGTCTTCACATTGAGCAGGCTGAGGAGAAGGAAAAGGAGGGTGGCTATCGCCTTTTCAGGAGTGGCCCAGGTGGAAGAAAATCCGTGCGTAAGTGGACCCATGCAGTTCAAACTCATGTTGTTCAAGGGTCAACTATAGTTATAAATAACCTACTAAATACTACTATTGATAGCCAGGACCCTTCCATTAGAAAAAGAACCTTTTCTGCCTTGATGGGGGTGTCTTACATTTGTGTGTCATTTTCACATATTAACATGTTATCTTTTTAAAATTTATTTTTGAGACAGGGTCTTATTGTGTTACCTAGACCAGAGTGCAGTGGTACAGTCATAGCCCACTGTAGCCTTGAATTCCTGGGTAGACCCTCCCATCTCTACCACCTGAGTAGCTGGGTCTACAAGTGCTCACACCACAATGCCTGGCCAATGTTTTAATTATTTTTTGGTAGAGATGGGGTCTCACTGTGTTGCCCAGGCTGATCTTGAACTCCTTCTTGGTCCTAAAGGACCCTCCCACCTCGGCCTTCCAAAGTGCTGAGATTACAGGTATGAGCCACTATGCCCAGCCGTGTTGTCTTTTTAATCTTGATGACTTAGCAAGCTTGTCAATGTTGGTGTACAGTTTCTATTTTAATTAATTATTTATTTTTGAAATGGAGTTTCATGCTGTTTCCCCAGGCTGGAGTGCAATGATGCAATCTCAGCTCACTGCGACCTCCACCTCCCCGGTTCAAGCGATTCTCCTGCCTCAGCCTCCTGAGTAGCTGGGATTATAGACGCCCGCCACCTAATTTTTTATATTTTCAGTAGAGATGGGGTTTCACCATGTCGGCCAGGCTGGTCTTGAACTTCTGGAGTCAAGTGACCCACCTGCCTCGGCCTCCCAAAGTGCTGGGATTACAAGCATGAGCCACCACACCCGGCCAGTTTCCCTTTTACAGTTTAGGAAACAAGTAATTTTTCTAAGGTCACAAAGCTGGTAGAATCAAAACTAGAACTCAAGTTTTCTAGATGCTGGTTCATAGCAGTGGAAGAACATGAGCTTTAGAACAGACTAGACCCAGGATCTAATTCCAAATTCCATCTACTAACTAGCTGTATGTTCTGAACAAGTTAATAAATACCTGAAATCTTTTGTCCCACATTGGCTAACAATGCCCACTGTATCGTACTGATGGAGGAATGAATAAGACGATGTAGGTTCCGTGCTTAGTATATAGAAGGAGTAGGGAAATGTTACATCATGGAAGGGAGGAGAGCGCTGTAAAATCTTTGCTGGCAACTGCTCCGGGAAAAATCCTTCCAGGAATGACTGGAACCCAGCATGGGGAATGAGGTCACTGTCTGAGTGGAAAGGGTGGGAGATGAAGAGGAGGGAAGAGAAGGTGGTGTGGACAAGCCCTCCTATGGGGAGGGGGGGGAGGTCCCATGTCCCCAGAATAGGGACCCGTGTGCTTCCTCTTTTTATCCCTCCAAAATTCTTGAGCACTAGGTCAGAACTTAATGCACCTGACTCTCATTCGTTATGAACAGACAGTCGCAGTTCCTGGGACTGTTGGAGGTGATGAATTTATTCTCAGAAGTCTTAAAAAGGCAGTTCTTAGGCACCTGAGCAAACACAAAATCATCCCGTGAAATGAGCAAGCTTCAAACCCTGAGATCCTGGGGCATGTGAGGGACCAGCTCTTAACAATGTGCTAAGCAGTGGGTATTCTTAAGTTCCTCAGCTCTGCTTTTTAAACCCCTCCCCTCCTCCCCTGATCTGACTCTACCTAATGGTCTTCCCCTCTGTGGGGTGTGATGGAAAGCAGCTGCCACGGGAATGCACAAACCTGGGATCTGGTCTTAGTTTTGTCCTTCCTTTGCTGTGTGACTTTGACCAAATCGCTTTCCCTCTCTGGGCCTGGGTGTCCTCAGCTATATAATGAAGGGGCTGAACTAGATGGTCCCCACAAGATGTCTTCCAGCTGGAAATTATATTTTCATATAATGATTCCTGCCTCTCTGGTACCCCCTTCTCTTTCAGCTCTACTGGCTGTACCTCCCCCCGTGGGCGCAGGGGTTGTGCTGTGTGCTGCCTCTGGGTCACCTCCTAGGCGCCCAGGATGGCCCATGTCTAGGGTTTCATATGAGGGTCTGGCTCTCGGCCTGCAGGGTCTGCCTGTCTAACTGTGCTGGAGATGCCCTGACTTCATGCAGATTACATTTTTGTCTTTTCTAAAAGTGAAGACGAAAAGCTCACCTGAGTTGGCCGGGGGTGGAGACAGCCTGACCTGGAGTCCTCACGGAGCCCAGCCTGGCCCCTGGGGATCCACCGACCAGGCCTGCATCCCCTCGCCTCAGGATCCAACCTAAGGAGGGCCCACTTCTGGGGGCTGCAAGTCAGGAACCTGGGGGTGTCTCAGCATTAGCTCTTGACAGCCCCTTAGAAGGGGCACCAGCTTAAAGGGAAAGAAGGGTGCTTATCAGGACAACGAGGGGCCCGCAGCTCCAGCGGGATAGCTGGTCTGGCCCAAGACAGGAGGATTAAACAGGATTCTCCTGTACCGGGCAGAGCCTACCAGTTGGATGTTCAATGCGGCTCCATGGGGACCTCTAGTGGCTGTTTTGTCAAACTGCGGTCTCCAGCCTTACCAGCCTCAGGCCATTGCACACCTGGATGGATACTAAGTAATGCTAATAACCACCATCTATCCTACGCAGCATCCCTGATTCACAGAAGGGAACCCCTTGAGGAGCACTTGCCTAAGGCCACCAGGCTAAGTGGCTGAACAGGGATTTGAACCCAGTTCATACTGCCTGCCCCCAAAGATGTGAGTGTGCTCATCATGAAAACCTGGAGTTTTTAGCACATGGCACTTGCCATTTCTATACTACGCACCTTCAAATCAAGTGAGAAGACATTTCTCAAAGGACGCATGTGCCACCAGCAGTTGAGGGGTCACTGGATTTCTGGAGACAGAGCTAAGCTGAAGGAATTGGTCTGACACGTGTAAACTCACCCAAGGTAACCATTTGGGAATCCAACCTCCTCCATGAAGTAAGAAAAATAAAATGTGCCCCGCCCATCTCTAGGGCTTGTTGTAAGAGTTAGCTGAAATGCCACATATGAACATATTTTATAAAATTAAGTAATTTGACAATTATAACTTTTATCTTTGTGAAAACCTGTACTTACCAACTGATTTTTTTTTTAACCAACTGATATTTGAAGCTAAAGAAAAAAAACGCAACCAGTATTTACTGAGTGTTTGAGATATTGGATAGTGTTCTGTGTACTTTTTTTGAGACAGAGTCTTGCCTTGTTGCCCAGGCTAGAGTGCAATGGCATTATCTCGGCTCACTGTAACCTCTGCCTCCTGGGTTCAAGCAATTCTCCTGCCTCAGCCTCCCAAGTAGCTGGGATAATAGGCACCCACCATCACACCTGGCTAATTTTTTTTGGTATCTTTAGTAGAGATGGGATTTCATCACATTGGCCAGGCTGATCTCGAACTCCTGACCTCGCGATCCATCCACCTCGGCCTCCCAAAGTGCTGGGATTACAGGCGTGTAAGTCACCATGCCCGGCCTGTTTTGTGTACTTTTTACATATTAGCTTGAATATTTTCCCTACAAACCAGGGAGGCAGATTCTATTTTTATTCTCTATTTTACTGATGAAAACCCTGCAGCCCACACAGAGGAAGCAGCTTGTCCATGATGAAATAGTGATGGAACGAGGATTTGCTCCTATGCAGCCCCACTACAGAGCTGGTGTGCTCGATTTTCACATTCACTCTGCTGTTCTTCAAGGACATATTCCAGTCTCCCAGAGAGGATGCGATGAGGACCGCCAGAGCTTGAGGATGCCTCTTTACTGGCCCTAACAAGAATCACTGCTGTGTCAGGGCTGTGCTAAGTGATCAGTGGACATTTTTGCTAATCTGTACTTCCTCCTGTGAAGTATAGTCCTTGCTTTACAGATGGGGTCTAAGGCTCCAAGAAGTGGAACAATTTGCCCAGGGCCACATGTAGCAAGTGCACAGCTGGCTCCGAACCCAGTGCTCTTGCAGCCAAGCCAATCCAAACCTCTGAGATGCTGCTCCTGCTCCCCCGGCCCATGCAGTGGGAACCCCCACAGCCCAGGGCTCCCTTGGGCTCTGCTCACACTTTTTGCCCTCTCTGGGATTCCATGCATAGGAAGCAAACACACCTAACATAAGAAATGGCCCAAGAGCCGGGTGCCACTAACCCAGACAGTACCGCTGATATTTTAGGGAAAGCACCCTTTGGGGTGATGCTGCTCACACCAGGACAAGGGCATGAGCTCAGGCCAGGTTTCAGCCCCGCTTCCCCTCAGCTGGGGCCTTGGTGCAGGACACAACCTGCAAAGGCGTGCCATAAAC